ATAGCTTAGAGATGGTGTAATAGCTTAGAGATGGGACAATAGCTTAGAGATGGTGTAATAGCTTAGAGATGGTGTAATAGCTTAGAGATGGTGTAATAGCTTAGAGATGGGACAGTAGCTTAGAGATGGGACAGTAGCTTAGAGATGGTGTAATAGCTTAGAGATGGGACAGTAGCTTAGAGATGGTGTAATAGCTTAGAGATGGGACAGTAGCTTAGAGATGGTGTAATAGCTTAGAGATGCGACAGTAGCTTAGAGATGGTGTAATAGCTTAGAGATGAGACAGTAGCTTAGAGATGGTGTAATAGCTTAGAGATGGGACAGTAGCTTAGAGATGGTGTAATAGCTTAGAGATGGGACAGTAGCTTAGAGATGGGACAGTAGCTTAGAGATGGGACAGTAGCTTAGAGATGGTGTAATAGCTTAGAGATGGGACAGTAGCTTAGAGATGGTGTAATAGCTTAGAGATGGGACAGTAGCTTAGAGATGGTGTAATAGCTTAGAGATGGGACAGTAGCTTAGAGATGGGACAGTAGCTTAGAGATGGTGTAATAGCTTAGAGATGGTGTAATAGCTTAGAGATGGGGCAGTAGCTTAGAGATGGGACAGTAGCTTAGAGATGGGGGCAGTAGCTTAGAGATGGGACAGTAGCTTAGAGATGGGACAGTAGCTTAGAGATGGGACAGTAGCTTAGAGATGGGACAGTTGCTTAGAGATGGGACAGTAGCTTAGAGATGGGACAGTAGCTTAGAGATGGGACAGTAGCTTAGAGATGGGACAGTAGCTTAGAGATGGGGCAGTAGCTTAGAGATGGGGACAGTAGCTTAGAGATGGGGGCAGTAGCTTAGAGATAGGGGCAGTAGCTTAGAGATGGTGTAATAGCTTAGAGATGGGGGCAGTAGCTTAGAGATGGGGGCAGTAGCTTAGAGATGGGGACAGTAGCTTAGAGATGGGGGCAGTAGCTTAGAGATGGGGCAGTAGCTTAGAGATGGGGGCAGTAGCTTAGAGATGGGGGCAGTAGCTTAGAGATGGGGGCAGTAGCTTAGAGATGGGGGCAGTAGCTTAGAGATGGGGGCAGTAGCTTACAGATGGGGGCAGTAGCTTACAGATGGGGGCAGTAGCTTAGAGATGGGGGCAGTAGCTTAGAGATGGTGTAATAGCTTAGAGATGGGGGCAGTAGCTTAGAGATGGGGGCAGTAGCTTAGAGATGGGGGCAGTAGCTTAGAGATGGGGGCAGTAGCTTAGAGATGGGGGCAGTAGCTTAGAGATGGGGGCAGTAGCTTAGAGATGGGGCAGTAGCTTAGAGATGGGGGCAGTAGCTTAGAGATGGGGGCAGTAGCTTAGAGATGGGGGCAGTAGCTTAGAGATGGGGCAGTAGCTTAGAGATGGGGGCAGTAGCTTAGAGATGGGGGCAGTAGCTTAGAGATGGGGGCAGTAGCTTAGAGATGGGGGCAGTAGCTTTAGAGATGGGACAGAAGCTTAGAGATGGTGTAATAGCTTAGAGATGGGGGCAGTAGCTTAGAGATGGGGCAGTAGCTTAGAGATGGGACAGAAGCTTAGAGATGGTGTAATAGCTTAGAGATGGGGGCAGTAGCTTAGAGATGGGGGCAGTAGCTTAGAGATGGGGGCAGTAGCTTAGAGATGGTGTAATAGCTTAGAGATGGGGGCAGTAGCTTAGAGATAGGGGCAGTAGCTTAGAGATGGGGCAGTAGCTTAGAGATGGGGGCAGTAGCTTAGAGATGGGGGCAGTAGCTTAGAGATGGGGCAGTAGCTTAGAGATGGGGGCAGTAGCTTAGAGATGGGGGCAGTAGCTTAGAGATGGGGCAGTAGCTTAGAGATGGGGGCAGTAGCTTAGAGATGGGGGCAGTAGCTTAGAGATGGGGCAGTAGCTTAGAGATGGGGGCAGTAGCTTAGAGATGGGGGCAGTAGCTTAGAGATGGGGGCAGTAGCTTAGAGATGGGGGCAGTAGCTTAGAGATGGGGGCAGTAGCTTAGAGATGGGGGCAGTAGCTTAGAGATGGGGGCAGTAGCTTAGAGATGGGGGCAGTAGCTTAGAGATGGGGGCAGTAGCTTAGAGATGGGGGCAGTAGCTTAGAGATGGGGGCAGTAGCTTAGAGATGGGGCAGTAGCTTAGAGATGGGGGCAGTAGCTTAGAGATGGGGGCAGTAGCTTAGAGATGGGGGCAGTAGCTTAGAGATGGGGCAGTAGCTTAGAGATGGGGGCAGTAGCTTAGAGATGGGGGCAGTAGCTTAGAGATGGGTGCAGTAGCTTAGAGATGGTGTAATAGCTTAGAGATGGGGGCAGTAGCTTAGAGATGGGGGCAGTAGCTTAGAGATGGGGGCAGTAGCTTAGAGATGGGGGGCAGTAGCTTAGAGATGGTGTAATAGCTTAGAGATGGGGCAGTAGCTTAGAGATGGGGGCAGTAGCTTAGAGATGGGGGCAGTAGCTTTAGAGATGGGGGCAGTAGCTTAGAGATGGGGGCAGTAGCTTAGAGATGGTGTAATAGCTTAGAGATGGGGCAGTAGCTTAGAGATGGGGGCAGTAGCTTAGAGATGGGGGCAGTAGCTTAGAGATGGGGGCAGTAGCTTAGAGATGGGGGCAGTAGCTTAGAGATGGGGGCAGTAGCTTAGAGATGGTGTAATAGCTTAGAGATGGGGCAGTAGCTTAGAGATGGGGGCAGTAGCTTAGAGATGGTGTAATAGCTTAGAGATGGGGGCAGTAGCTTAGAGATGGGGCAGTAGCTTAGAGATGGTGTAATAGCTTAGAGATGGGGGCAGTAGCTTAGAGATGGGGGCAGTAGCTTAGAGATGGGGGCAGTAGCTTAGAGATGGGGCAGTAGCTTAGAGATGGGGGCAGTAGCTTAGAGATGGGGGCAGTAGCTTAGAGATGGGGGCAGTAGCTTAGAGATGGGGGCAGTAGCTTAGAGATGGGGGCAGTAGCTTAGAGATGGGGGCAGTAGCTTAGAGATGGGGCAGTAGCTTAGAGATGGTGTAATAGCTTAGAGATGGGGGCAGTAGCTTAGAGAGGGGGCAGTAGCTTAGAGATGGGGGCAGTAGCTTAGAGATGGGGGCAGTAGCTTAGAGATGGGGCAGTAGCTTAGAGATGGGACAGAAGCTTAGAGATGGTGTAATAGCTTAGAGATGGGGGCAGTAGCTTAGAGATGGGACAGAAGCTTAGAGATGGTGTAATAGCTTAGAGATGGGGGCAGTAGCTTAGAGATGGGACAGAAGCTTAGAGATGGTGTAATAGCTTAGAGATGGGGGCAGTAGCTTAGAGATGGGGGCAGTAGCTTAGAGATGGGACAGAAGCTTAGAGATGGTGTAATAGCTTAGAGATGGGGGCAGTAGCTTAGAGATGGGACAGAAGCTTAGAGATGGTGTAATAGCTTAGAGATGGGGGCAGTAGCTTACAGACGGGGGCAGTAGCTTACAGATGGGGCAGTTGCTTAGCGCTTTTCTGTCGGAACAAACGCCATGTGTTCGAGATAGTTTTCATAATTTACGTTTACGGCTTCCAGGTCGACCCACCGTAAAATGGGTAAAGCAAAATTTCCTAGAAGGTAAAGGCAGCCGGTGTCGCTTTGTAGTGGTTTGGTGCCAACTTGCATACTTCTTTCTATGAGTACCGATCAGTACACTTTCTGTTACTTGATTAATTCATAATATTTAGCGGCCTCAAAGGTTCCCCCTCTGTTTATTTATAAGTTAACAGCCAGCGAAGACAAACAAACAAAGGTTTTATTCTGCTTTTTCTTCTTCTGTTGTTGTCTCAATGAAACCAGGTTGTAGCCCAGTGTCGTGGTCTTCTGTATTGTCTTGAGCTTCTCGGGTTGCTTGACTGATGGATTCGTTCATCTTTGTGAAGGTTTCTGATACACCATTTATCTATCGCTTTCTTGGCCTTCCTGTCGCTTCCTCCCAGATGCTCTGCTGTAAAAAGTCTCATATGCAGTAGAGTCTGGCTGCATTCTCACCAGATTTAACAGCAATGTACTTTTCGTGCCAAAATTCCTACTCTGGATGAGCATGGGTGTAATTTTCGAGGCAATTTCAGGCCTTGGGTTTCGCTTGGGGTTCTTCCAGCACAAACAGAGAAAGTGGGAAATGCATAGTTCTAGTGTTTATTAAGCCAGTGTGTCCGAAATGTCTGCCTGTGTCCCTCTGCCAATTGCAAAAGTCTTACATGTGTCCGATGAACCAACCGTAAGCTTGTCACTTAGTCGTCAAGGTAGCCGGTTGATCTAATGGGCTACCGTAGCAACAGTACATTTATCTAACTTTGAATCTCACAGTACCCGTTGCATGGTCACAATTTTCGTCTTGTCCCTGTCCGAGAACAACCGACATCCGGTGAAGTGCAGCAGGAGAAGATCGAGGGCTGGGAGTCATGACCCAGGTCGGCCCACCTTCTGAAGTTGTCTAGGAGGTAATGGACCGAAACTTTTCTCGACGAGAGATCTTCTACTAATGATTGGTAGACTCCTGTTGTACACGCTCCCCTTGTGGAGTTCTTATTTTTACTGTTTACTACAATACACCACTCGGTTTACGTGTCGCCGAGCAAGTTAAGCTTTTTTTTTAACAGTGTTAACATAGCGAAAAGAATGCTCGCCGCATTCTTAAACAACTCTTGCTGAAACTGTAACATCTGACAGCTACCAGTTACTAATACTTCTATTCTAGCTGCGTACGCATACTCATAACAGCCAAGAAAATATCACGTGATACCTTCTCCAATATAATCGTTACCTGCTACCGCTTCATTTTGTCTAAACAGCTTACACGTGTGAATTGATCAAGCCTTGCAGCCGATGTGAAGAGAACGAAGATGGGAGCTGTAAAAAAAAAAAAGATTGGGGCGGGGGGGGGGGGGGGTGAATGACGTAAGTTGATTGAGGGTCTATGCATCAATGGGAGATATCAGACAATATCGTGGGGGGGGGGGGGGAGAGAAACGTATAGTTGTTCTAATATTGAGATCCGTTTTTGGTAATTATTCCAGGGTTTTCCAGTCTGCCATTCCAGGACCAATCAGCTTTACTGAAATCTGCGTGGGATGAGGTCTGGCTGCTGGGAACGTTCAGGTAAGGTTAGCGAATTATCTGCTTATTTTGTCTGTAGTGAAAGTGGTATTGGTGGCGATAATGTTGGTAGATGTAGTGGCAGTAGCAGCAAATAAATTTAAACGTTTTAAAGGCACCTTGAAGTCTTCACTCAAAGCATTTGGGATGAATGACACCAATTGAGAGGCTGCCTCTCAAGATCGAAATGCATGGCGTGCAGCTCTACACAAGGGCGCGGCTACATGTGAAGCAAACAGAACAGCAAAACATTAAGAAAAGGATGGACAGAAAGGCGACTGCAGGAGATCCCCTCCCTGACACAACGCTCATTCCTTGTCCTCACTGTCCAAGAACTTTTCAAAGAAACGAAAAATTGCTTCCCAGATGGGGAAGACCTTGGTTTTAGTAGTAGAAGTAGTAGCTGTTGTTTTTGTGGAAATAACAAAAGTAATGTTGTCATTGTACACTGTTTATGACAGTATTATTATTCACTTGATCTCGGATGGTTAGTTTGGTGGCTTTTCTTAGGCATCTCATTACTCAGTGGGGAATTTTACATACACGGGTCTTATATAATGTTCATGGCTGGCACTGGTAGCTTAATTCTTCTTCTTCTTCTGCGTTCGACATCAGTCATGCTAAACATTGAGTCCCGTCTGTGTCACAAATAGGTCCCCCATAGCCTCTCTTTCAATGCGGCTCCCTTGGGCCAGATCCAGTCTTTGCTGGGAGAGGTAAGGGCAGTACTGTAGTATGTGCCCAGGGGTCTGTCTTTTTGCTCCACAATCACAGGCAGCAGATTCTTTTACGCCTATCCTGTACAGGTGTGCTCGAAGACCACAGTGTCCAGTCCGAAGTCTAAAAATTGTTGTTTGTTCTTTCCGGTTGAGTTTGTTTATGCTGTCACTCTCTGGTCTGTAATCTCCATTCTGCCTTCTCCACTCCCGCTTGAAAGACTGCTTTAGCGCTGTTTTGGTTTCCTTGTAGCTGTGTGGTGGATGAGGTTGTGGAAGATTACTCCCAGCTTTTGCCAACTCATCTGCTCTCTCATTTCCTTAAATACCACAGTGGACTGGTATCCACTGCAAGACAAGTTCTGCTTCCTTGGAGAGTAACCCAATGGTGGTCCTTAGATCTGCAATTAGTTTGTCTTGTTTTTTGCTTGATAGTGCCTGGAGAACAGACAATGAGTCACTAAGTATAACAAATTTGTGCTCTCTGTGTGGTAGCTTAATGTCGGAATGAATATGCTGTTTATAATTTGTATATTTGCACTCACAGTTGTGGATGTCTTATTATGGTGACAATTCGTATATAAATAAAGTTCTCTTGCTTTATTAAATCTGGTTTCTGTTTCTCTGTCAATTCTGCCATCTTCCGTGTCGACCTCATAGTTAAACCATGTATTCTTCTTCTGCCTTCCTAACCCCCAGTGAAGCTTATGCTCTCACGCCAACTCACGCCAAGTCGTTCTATCCTTGGCTAACGCATGCAACTCTCCCAATGTCCTCCCCATCTGTTTAACTTCACTCTATAGTTTTACTGTTCTCAGCGTGTGTCCTATCCAACGCCAGCGTCTTTTCTTCTGTTACAGTCTCTAATAAGTCAAACCATGTAACAAGTGTTTAACCAGATCTCTCTCTCTCTCACTCACTCTCTCTTTCTCTCTCTCACTGTCACTCACTATCTCACTCTATCTCTCTCTTTCACTCTCTCTCTCTCACTCTTTCACTCTCTCCCACTCTATCTCTCTCTCGCTCTATCTCTCTCTCAATCTTTCTCACTCACTCTCATATATATATATATATATATATATATATATATATATATATATATATATATATATATATATATATATATATATATATTATCTTTCTCACTCCTCTCTCACTCACACACACACTCTCTCTCTCTCTCTCTCTCTCTCTCTGATAGAGGCTACAACAAGACTTTGGGTGTAGCTATGACCCCCAGGGGCACCTGTGTTCATGCCGATGAGATGGAGGCTGCCTGGGGCAGACATTACGCTCGGTTCGCTTTCATCATGGCGGGCATCATCAAACGATACAGCCTGTCCAGGCAGCTGTTGATTCTTCTCAAGGCTGTCTGCATCGTCGCTCCTGACAGGTAGTTGGTCATCGTCATCATCGTCATCATCATTAACATCTTCATCATCCTCATCATCATCATCTTCAGCGTGTTCGCCCTTAAAAGCGCCGTTTGACACAGTTTTGTGGTTTTCAGCAAGGGTCTAACATTTGCCTCCTTCAGCCCAGCACATGTGATGTCAGTCAGCTCCTGTTTTGTCGCCTTTTGTGACATACATGCACTTGTTAAGGGGATATAGTTCAATATTTGGTGGGGGGGGGGGGGGAGGGAGGGGAGGGGGGGCATGTGCCAAAATGGGGCCGCGGAACTTTTACAGGAAGATTACTAAATATGCACGGTGTGCTATCACCCCCTCCCCCCTCCTCAACACACACACACACACACACACACACACAACAATTAAAGGAGGAAGAGGAGCAAAGTCCATGCGGTTTAGCGTTCTGCCGTTTGCCTCGCGATCTGATCGTCATGATTTCGTCGTATGGACTGCGTCTTTCGGTCCACGTTTAAAACGGCTAGTTAGCCAATCTGGGAGATCGAAACATATGAATTTATGCTGGGTGATGTTAATTTCGTCGCCCAGCTTCTGAGCTGAGTGCATGGCGTGACACTGTGAGCTACGTGTGTTTTTCGTTGGCACAGGAGCGGAGCAACTATGGGGTGACCCGTTTGCTATGAAGCTGAAACTAGGATTACCAGATTAGTTAGTTAGTTAGTCTTTCCTCTTGTTTCGAGTGCGGCACATAGGGCAGAGGTCATGACTCTCCATGCATGGCGGTTCGTTGCAATCTGTTGTAGGTCTTGGATGTTTGAGTGGCCCATGAGTGAGCCTTCCCTGATGATAGTTCTTCGTAATGTTTCCCTTGGTCTTCCACGAGATCTTTTCCCCTGTGGTGTCCAAATGAGGGCTTGGTAAGGAAGTCTTGATTTATCCATTCTAAGGGCGTGGCCGACATTCTTCTAAGGCATTTATTTTCAAAACTGTCTAATTTTGTGTCTAGAATTTTCGTTGATTTCCAGCTCTCGCATCCATAGGTTAGTACTGGAATCACACAAGAATTGAAGATCTTGAAATGACAAGTCCCAGATTACCAGATGTTAATCCGCTCAGCTATAAACCTTTAGTATTATAATCGGCAACACTTACATGTAAGCTTTCTTAGCACCGGGGGGTGGGGGGGGGCTGGGGGGGGGGGGGCTGGCTGGGGGGGGGGGGGGGATAATTTATTTGGATGGGGAGGAGGGGGTTTAAAATGTTATATTTATTTCTGCTTGGATCAGTATGCTTGTTTACAAAAAATGCTTGCTTTCTTGATGTATCCCACTAGGACATCACACAAGCGATAAACACCCGGTTACACAAAGTGCCACCATGCGGATGAGGATCACCCGTGGAGAGGTCCCAGAAACCCCTTTCAACCGTTATGGCCATCATCAGGGCCCCCCGGCAAAAGCCAGAGTGGAACTTCAAATAAAAAAAAAAAAAAATGCATCCCACAAGCGGACGACTAATAAAAACAAAATAATTTCCTTCTTCTATTCGCACGTGTCATTTCGTTCAATCAGATGAACTGTTTCTTGTTGGCACGTTTCTTTCTTTCTCGCCGGTTGTGTTGTTTCTTGATATATGGGAGCACGAGAATCACAGCCCGTGGCGACGGCGAGTGTGACTGGGCAGACCCGCCCGGCGTTCAGAAACTTCTTTCGCAATAGAACTATGAGATTGCAGGATCATTGTTCCCATCACATGCTTTTAGCGTGCTTCTTTCGGAGACTGAACTCTGCACCAGTCCACCGTCATGTTCTCTTGTCTCCCCTTTCTGATTATTCCCCCTTTTCCATGTAATACAGTCTATGGCATTTAGTTTCTAGGAATCCACTTCAAAACTTGCATCATCCATGGCCCACTTGCACTCACACCGTAATAGAGACCGTCCTTGACATATCCAACCCATCAGTAATTCTTAAAGAGGATGTCCTTAGGGACGCTACCATCTCTCATCCGCCCTAGCCACCTGTGCCTACAAAGACCACACATTGAAAATACTGTTGTGATAATCCTTTTGCACTACCTCAAGCGTCTGTGTGATCTGACCTTGCCACCTAATACGTACCTTAGTGTTCTTTTGAGGCATATCATTTGGAAGCTGCTTAACCGTTTCTCCTTGTAGACCAAACTGCCCTCAGTTTCACTAACGTAAAGAAGAGTTCTTGGAATGCAATCTTGATCAGGGGTTTTATCATTTTGAATGCGCTTCGTGATTTCCAGGTGCGAAGCTCGATCCCCACAGCTGGTGATTTAGCAACAGATCAGCTTGCGGTAGTTTCGACAGTGGTATTCGGAGGCGACCGTCTGGAGCGGTGGAAAACTACTGAACGTAAATATGGTCTAGTTAAATCGCAGCGAGAAATGCTGGAGTTGGTTCTGCAAAGGATACGCAACTAACAATATTTGTTAGAAAATATTTTGTTCTATTCACCTAAGCATCGCTTTTTCAATTTGGTGAGTATATTTGAAAAAACTTTCTTCATTTTATTTTCTTTCTTTTTCCCACAGATGCCCTTTGTCAGAAGCAGAAAAAGTTTCCGACATTCACTGGATGGTTGTGTCCTGCCTACAACGTCACGCAGAAAAGACGCAACCGGGGAATCGCCAGATTTTCCCGCGACTTGTATCCATTTTGACATCGCTAAGAGAGCTGAGCGAGTCAGCCAGGAGAGATGTGGGAGCCAGGAGTTTAATGTGTGATTATAATATTTTATCACAGACTTTAATGCCGTTTTAACTCATCGAATAATCATGTGTAGGTTTCGATTACTCAGTATCATCGCCTTGATGGGGTGCTGTTAAACGCTAGAAAGGGCTCACAAACTATTCTTCCGTTTCGTTCTATCTTGTACAATTCGCTTGATATCAAGGATGAAATCTAGCCCAGTGCCTTTTGCTTCTCTCGACAGCTTCGTCTGGTGATTTCTTAGAACTTTTTCGTTTCCTCAACCCATTTGTTTCTCATTATACCGCCTTTCAAGTGATTATCGATCCGTTTCTCCTCATAATGTGCTCAGTATTATTATTTGTATGAAAATAAACAGTTATTTATACAATTGAAGCATGCAGTGTTTGCCACATAGACTACATTGTTTCATCAGTCAACTGACGTGTGATGTTAGTGACTTCCCGCCTGCCGCTGTTGCTTCCTGACATAAATCCCAGTACCGATTTTGTGCTGAGTCGACCTACAAATCTATGTCCAGTGACAAAAATCAGTCTCAAACAAAGCATCACATAAGTCAAAAGAGGAAGGTCTTGGGTGGCGCAAGCAGAAGGCACAATTAGACGTGTGTGCTGGAGAGGAGTTGGTCGACGTTTCCGAGCTCCAATCAGACTTGTATAGGGTTTTGAAAACACTGGATCGTGAGTGCAGGGACTGACCAGCGGACGTTCATCATGATAAAGTCAGCCACTGATTCCCCGACAATTTCACTCAGGTGATACTATTGTCTACACAAATGTTTCTATTTTTAGAGGCAGACAAAGTAGTTGTACCCCAACAGGAATTCACTCAAGCGATAAACACCCGGTGACACAAAGTGCCAATATGAGGATGAGAATCACCCGTGGAGAGGTCCCGGAAACTCCGTTCAGATGTTAGGCCATATTAAAGGCCCGGTTATATTTAGGGCAACCGGTAAAAGTCAGGGTGGGGATTCAAAATAGCTAAACATTGCATCCCACAGCCATCAGAAGTATAAGAGAGGCGGACAAAGTGTACGGGGGCTCATAGTCTGAACAAATGGACAACCCTTTCTGTAACAAATCCAGGCATAGGTTAGCACAATGTCTAGTCTTAGAATGGAGACTTGAGGTAGTTACTGTGGCCTGACTCTTCTGAAAACTATCTTCACACAGATAACGTGATTTTAACAGTCCCACAATACGTGTTGAGCAAGGTGAAGACAGGTGTGCCACATGTATAGTGGCGAGCACCGCTTTGGAGATCCCGGACTGTTAGTGTCCTTTGGGTACTTGCTCTAAATCTGTTTGTGTGTGTCGAAAACGAGCAGGCAGGTTTAATTGCTGCTTCTGCACCACTTGAAGGCAAAATAATGAATGAAAAGCTATATGTTTTAAATGTCGGAAGCTAATGAACAATGCGAGGCACACATAGATTATCACAGCCTGAAGAGAATGGTGCAACTGTGGAAAGGGGGCGGAAAAGGGGAGGGGGGAGCAGGGAATCTGACTGACTCAATAATAGGTGGACAAGCAAGATGGATATGCAATCAGATTGTTATATGTATCAGGTAATCTGAACTCTGCACCGCTGCTGAAGATGGATATGGAGCGCGTATGGGAATATCCTGGGTGCTGTGATACTGATTCCTAATTCAGCTCCTCTATTTTTTTAAACTCATCCTGCCTCATTCTAGTATTACCTTACATCATAATATCTTTTCATTTTTAATTTTGCAACTGTACTAACTCGCTGTGCTTTTATTGGACCCACATTTCTACGATTTTAAATGTCAGCAAGTTTAGAAACAAGTGCCTTCAAACTTTAAACCTGGACAATTGTTCTCCATTGTTTAAGCATCCTTGACAAAGCTTGGGTGCAAGTGACTTTAAGGACTGTGTTTTGGATCTTTAAACAACATATTGTTCTCTATTAGTTAAGCATCCTCGACAAAGCTTGGGTGCAAGTGACTTTGAGTACTGTGTTTTGGATCTTTAAAAAACATATTGTTCTCTATTAGTTAAGCATCCTCGACAAAGCTTGGGTGCAAGTGACTTTGAAGACCGTGTTCTGGATCATTAAAAGACATTGTGGCAAGACTTAGTAGCAGACAAACACTTTGCGGGAGTATGTTGCTATTATAATTTGCGTTTCTAGGCAGTAGCATGGGATTAGAAGTTGACAGTGCCGATGTGCAGAAGTTAGTGAAGGGCCAGGGGAATTAACTTCTCAGGGAAGAGCTGGAACGCCTTCAGAAAAAGTAGACAAACCTTCCAGTTTGAATGTGTGACAGCCAGTCTCTTTAGGAAAGATATAAAACCGAACGAAAAGTAGATCAACGAGCTTCACAATATAACAAACACGAATAAAACGTGAACGTGGTGACAGTAGAGACTACATCAGCACAAATATAAATCAAACAAAACCACATGAATACACACAGTCACTTAACTGACGTATCCAGATGCAGCCACGTTGATGTCTTGTCAGTGGACTGTGAAATAGTACAGGTGAAGTAAGATTGATATTCGATGACATTTTTATCGTGTTAATTTCGTTTCTTTGTTACAAGATTGTATACATTTTCATTTTTACTCTGGCATGTATTCATGAAGAAATGTAATAAAAGTTCAAGTGCATAAACAGTTCACCTGAGTTGAAAAACTAATTAGGAATACAAATAAGAGTTAAGAATACTATTCGCTGGTTTCTAAAGAGGAGGACAGAGCACATGTGAGATTTTTGATTCATGCATTCATTCATTCACTCATTCATGCATTCACTCATAAGAAACGAATTAATACATGTAGCATAAAATATCTTTTTGGGGAAGTGCTTTCAGTTTTTCAAATCATTCGGTTTCCGAATAATTCTTTTCCGGGGCCCCATTAAATGAGGGGGGGGGGGGGTGTCAGTAGACCCACAGCCCACGCTAAAGACTTGTAGTAAAAGACGACTAATTATGGATAGTTGTAGTGCATGTCTGAGAGGCGAGAAATCTACATTTTACATACAAATAAGCCAAATCTGCACAACGGTTGTGCACGCAAAATTTATATTATGGAAAATGGCTAAAATCCACAAATAGGCGAACAACCAGAACTTTCCTCCCGAGTTAAAGCTAATGAATGCAAAGAAGGAGGAGGAGAACAAGAAGAAAAATAATAACAAAAAGAACAAGAACTCTTAACTGCGAATTAAGCTTAAGAACTGAGGTTCTACTATATAGTCGTAATAATTTAAGCGATGATAATTTAATCTAACGTCAAAAAAAAAAAAAAAAAAAAAAAAAAAACAGCTTCGTCGCAACAGGTTTTATCCCACGTGCCTCGGTCTACTTCCACGCAACGGCTGGTCTGCAGAGAGCATATTATAAAGCACGAACTCCGTTGCTCTACAGACGATCCCCCATGGATCTCCGTTAAAAAAATGCACTCGTAAACCGAACGCTATAGACTGAAACGAACCCAAGACCTTCTCGTCGTGTGCATTCTGGGGACCTACTATTGGGTACACAAGAACAGACCAACCGCCCCGTAACAAGCATGTCGTAAGAGTCGACTAATTAGGAGTTTCCTTCAGAGTTGGAGATAATCTGCTTGAGAGGCAACGAACATACATTCTACACACAAAAAAATCTGAAATGTAAAACTGATGTGCATGCAGCACTCAGGTTCTGGAACAAGGCTAAAGTCCAGAAGTGGATGAACAACCAGAATTTTCCGCCAGAGTTTACATCTGATAAACGCGAAGAGGAAGAAGAACCCAAAACCTTCAGGTAGCGAGACAAACGAAGACCCCTGGCAAGTTTGTAACTAGCTGCACTCACGCCAGGTATGCCCTCCAAGAAAATGGGACAGCTCTGGAGCAATCTAATACGTTTGTTGGCTTGGGTAACCAAGTGACAGCAGATAGGAGATGTATTACCGAAATTAAATATGGAATAGCTCAACCAAAGGCAGCATTTCATAAACTAAAGAGTATTCTAAGCAATCTGTCAATTAAGCTGAGAAAGAGAATTTTGTAGAACTATGTAGCTCCAATGCTGATAAAATATGGAAGTTTATCATGGATATTTAGCTGATTAAGTTTAGTTGCGAATCCTTTACAGGACGTTGCAGAACCAACCCCAACAGCTTCTGGCTGTTGTGTGGTTTTTCTAGGCAAATTTACGTCCAGTAGTTTATTTAGCTGATTACATGAACAGTTATGTGGAAACCTTGCCTTGCTATGAGAGAAAAGGGGGAATTTTTGGTTATAATTGTGACTAGGTTTATTTGCGCCATATTAAATGGCTTAACATTGCTCGCTACCAAGTAGCCATGAAAAGAACTCTTGCAGTGTTGATATGATCAAGAGACACCCAAAAAATGTCCCGATCGAGGACGAATTCGTCTGCCGGCTAGCCAATGGGTGACCAGGTCGACGATAAATAATGTAAAAGCGGAAGAGATATGGTTTTATAGATGAGTGATAAGAACCTGGACAGATAAATGGAGTAATGAAGTTGAAGTAATAAAGACCAGAAAACTGGGCTGCAACCTGGTATCAGTGAGAAGACAGATAAAGGAGGACAAAGTTGTCTTGATGGAAATTAACTCAAGAGTGAACTGATTAACCACGACAGAAGGGGCAGAGAATCTACTCGTACATTCTTTCGTCACGTCGATGAGAAAGAGGCAGCGCGTCTGGTCGAACCGTTAAGAACGCTGAGTTGTCTCTCTTGCGAGAGTTCCTTCCAGTTACGAATCCTAGGAGAGGTGACAGCAGTACTGGGTGGCAGATACCTTTTTTCTGTCCTGGTTAGGTTGGGAGGTTGGGGGAAGGGTGTTGTAAAACCCAAACCTGTACAGTCGTTGGCGACAGCACTGACCGTGTGGCCACACATCCCCTGACTCAAAGGCCTTCCTGCTTACACCTCTAAAAATTGAGGCAGTAACGGTATCAACAACAAAAAATGAGAAAAAAACTTGAATACGTCAGGACGCTTGGAAAGGTACATTAAAGGGGAAATGAACAGAGAGAGAGAGAGAGAGAGAGAGAGAGAGAGA